TGAAATAAAACCACCACTCAGCTATCCCACTCTTTAGTCTATACCCAAAGGACTTAAAAGCAGCATACTATAGTAAAGCAGCTACATCAATGTTTATAACAGCTCAATTCACAATAGATAAACTGTGGAATCAACCTAGATGCTCTTCAATAAATGAATGAAAAAAACCCTGTGGTATATATACAGAATATAATATTACTCACCATTAAAAGAGAATAAAATATGGAATCTGCAGGTAAATGGATGGAGTTGGAGAATAACATACTAATCAAAGTAAGCCAATCTCAAAAAAACCAAAGGCTGAATATTCTAATAAGTGGATGCTGATATAAAATGGGGAGCAGCATGGGAAAAATGGAGGAACTTTGATGAGGCAAAGGGGAGGGAGGGGTGGGAAGAAGGCATGGGGGCAGGAAAGATGGTGGCATGAGATGGGCGTCGTTACCCTATGACTGCACATATGGTATGTCGCTACACCATGTACAACCAGAGAAATGAAAAATTGTGCTGCAATTGTGTACAATGAATCAAAATGTATTCTGCTGTCATATATACCTAACTGAAATAAATAAATTAATAAAAACAAAAGAGATTTCTGATTAAAGGCAAATGGCGAATTTAAAAAACAAAAGAAAACCATGTCAAAACTCAAGAAGTTTGTGGTACTTAATTATTTACAGAAGTTCATTTTTTCCTGAGCAAGTCCATGATGTGCATATAGGTCTTCAGTTACTACAGTTTTCATTTACAATCTGTTTTAAGGATAAAACACACAATAATTTTATTTTTTTAAAAAAATTATCAGATATTAATCAATGGTTTACTATATGTCAAACATTAGCTCAATGGACTTAAGTAACTAAAAATGCATAATTGTGACTTCAGATAGAATAAATTTTGTTTTAGCTGTCTCCTATAAGAAGTTCATGTTATTTTATGACTCCAGTCTTAAGCCTTGCAGACTTCTCTGCAAGGCATCCAAGAAAAAAACAACTGAGATGCTGCATTAGGCTGGCCTTGAAAAAGATTGCATAGGGGGCCTTTCCCATCTGTAATTTTTAAGAATATAAAGGAGTAAACATCAAGGAGGGGCTCAGGATATTAAATTAATATATTTATCAATGTTAAAAAATGTCACTCCTTTTTTCTGTTTCATATTGAGAACTGCGTTTTCTCTTTAGTATTTTATTACTATAACTAAGAATTTGTAACTCTCATCAGTGTTAGATAAACTATGCTCTGATTTACTTCTGTACCACATGACAGAACATCTGTAGGAAGTAGTCTACAGACTCAAGCATGGAAAAAAATGGCATGAGATGCCCTCATAGTAGTTAGCAAATTTGTTACAAATGTAGAAAATTCCCTCATATTCCTTTTTGAAAGCACAAAAGAGAAATTTGTGGTTCTAAAGCTAGGTTAAAAGAACTGAGTGCAGAGAGAACATAATTTGACCTAACAATATACAAATTAATACCTTTTTCAGTTGAATTTTTCCTTACTACTCAATGTCTAACATCTGTTCTAGAAAGCATTAACCTTTACTCCTTCTAGGCATACACATGAACATATTACACTCAGATGAACTAAGTAATAAGAGTACACAAAATTTGAGAAACTAGTTTCTTTATAGTGGTAAAACTCAAATGAAAGACACAAATCCTATAGCTATCTCATTAAACAAAGAAAACAGTACTTTGAAATAAAGTACTATTAACTAGAATTTAATATATATTTTTGAAGTAAATAACATTTAAGTTTGGAGGAAAGGGTTATTTTTATAGCATCCCATTAAGGTAATGAGATAGAAACTCCTTCTCTCATTTTATATTATTCTTTCTGTGCAGTTCTGGTGTAAACCTGGAATTAAGTTAGAGTTTATGGTGACAGAGAATCTAAAAAGCTGTGTAGTTCTGAGAACTAGAACAGGGTATTTTGACCTTCTTTTTCAAGAAATAAACTTTTAAAAAGTTGTGCTCCTAATATGATATATCAAGAGCTTTGTAATGTTGTGAACAACCAATAAAAAAAAAAAAGAAAACTCAAAAAAAAAAAATAACTCAATGATATGTACACTTTAAAAAAAAAAAAAGTTGTGCTCCTGATAACAGAAAATGGCTAAAGGTGGAGATCTTCCATGAATAGGAGTTTCATAGGTTGGTAGAATGCTTTCTAAAGACAGATTACAGGAGCAGAGGCATCACAAGCTGTTTGGGTACTAGAGGAAAAAGGAATATTCTTAAATCAAGATAGCTAAGCCAACCTCAAAAGGTAGGTTGGTAGAATGCTTTCTCGAGACAGAATACATGATTTGAGGCATTACTTGCTGCTTGGATACTAGAGGAGAAAAGTATATTCTTAAGACAGCCAAGCCAACCTCAAAAGGTAGCTGGCTGTTCATTTGTCATAAATTTCCCAAATGCCTCTATGTTACAGATCCCGTGTTAGGTACTAGGGAATCAAAGACAATAAGACAGACACTACCCCTTGAGTTGCTTCAACTATCACAATATACTAACTAGGATAGAGAGATTCTAATACAAATGGCACAAATAATCTTAATTTTAGAGTGTTTCTCAAACATCCTGGAATGAAGGGAGAGAATGTATTATTAAATGTGTTATTTAATAATGTTATTAAATATATATGTTAAAATAAATGGAGACTAATGGTGCGTTGCTCTTCATAAAGGAGGATGATTCTAGTGATTTAAGGCCAAAGGACAAATTTTTTTGAGATGTTTTCTTCCTAATGATGATATGACTTTTTTTTCAATCTCCCTTTTGGAACCAGAGTTTGCGTCAGTAGTCAAATGGCTAAATTGGAATTAATAGTTGGATTTAGTAGTTTATCCCTATGGTAGCAAATCCTAGATTTTTACTTCAATAGCCCTTTGGTTCTGTTAACTGAAATACATTATTATAATTATACACATGACAGTCAGAAAATGTTTTAAGGATTCCTTGTCTCATCTTGAGATTTAAATTAAAGTTGAAGGAAAACCACTGAGGAAAAAAATTCCAGATTATGTAAATTAACAGCATACCAGATACACATTATAGGATATTTTAATATTTCTAGCTCTAAAATAGTAAAAGAAAAATCTCTTGAAAATAATAAAGGAGGGAATGTACTCAAATGGATGATAAAAAGTATAGAAATGGTTAAAACCCATCTGTCAGTATTTTAAGGCTATAATATTAATGAAATGGGAGCCAGTGTTAGTTCATCATCATAAGACTGGATTTGCTGTTTAGAAAGAGGTTACATATTTTGTCATTTTCATCTCTTAAATCTTTCAATACATTCATTACACTGTTGCTTTTTTGTGTTCAGCTATTTATGTTCATTTCAAAACTAGTATTTCTGCAAAGTATATGAGGCATTTCATTAACAAATGAATTGATATGATTGTCTTGATGTTGACTATAATAATAGAAACACAATAGTCATTTTCCAACATGAATTCATCATAAAACTCCCAGTAAACTAGGAAGAGAGTAAACTTCTTTAATATGATACAGAGCATCTACAAAAAATCCCCTATAGGTAATAATATTTAATGGTGAAAGATGGACTGTTTTCTCTTAAGATTGGAAACAATGCAAGGGTTTCTACTCTTAACATTCTTTTAAGATAGTGTAAGAGACAGCATAAAAGGTATAGAGAAAGATGGAAATAAAACTGTCTTTTTATTAAGATGATATCTTTCTTTTAAGATGATATTTGTCTATGCAGAATATCCCAAGGAATCTAAAAAAGAAAACCCTCCAATAATCAATAGTGACTGAGATTATAATCTTGCTTATATCAAGATCAAAAATCAATTTCCATATGCTAAAAACAAACATGTGGAAACCAAGCTTAAAAATACAACATCTATAGTCTTTCCATAAAAAATAAAATAATTATGCTAATACTTAATAAAACACAGAGGGTTTTAACGATGAACATCAACGTCAGATGGAGACGTTTGCATGGCCATGAATTGGTTACAGTGAAAACAGCACTGAGGAAAACAAGAGCCCAGATTCTCACTGCTAGAGAAGATAGCTACAAATACAGATGATATCAGAAAGAACCTTGAAGCACTGTGTTGGATTAGAAATCTAGATGTTGATATGACTTATGGTTTTACATTGTTTTTACAAATATGAACAGATGTATATTGAGCATTCAGAACCTGGCTTTTAAACAACACACTCTGCCAAAAGGAACCAGATCTCCTTAATGAAATGTCTGACTCAAGGCTTGGACAGGGAAGTATAAGATTCCAATCTAAAATAATGCAGAAGGAAAGGAGATAATCATTATTTCACCAAGAAGGCTGACTCAAGTAGTGTGTTCAATGGAGTATAAGGGTAGCAGGTGGAGGTCTGATGAGAAAAGGATATTTAAGTAATAGCAGAATATGTTCCCATAAAATACTTATCAAATTAAAAGGGGAAAACAGTGAACTGGTTGGATGAAATCAGTAGTCATCAAAAAGACTAGGTGAGCAATGTTAACATGACAATGGCAGACCAGGTCACCACTATGTACTTCCTAATGAGATGAACTGAGAAGTGCACAAGATCAGTTCTGCATTTCTTTGCAGTGAAATTTCTGCAAAGCATTTATGATCTAAGTTACGAAATGGGAAAACAGCATTATCTCATACTTTTAAAATGGATATGGTCAGGACATGAAACAGAAAAAGACTAAGGAACTGTTGCATATTGAAGAAATCTAAAAAAATGTGACTTCTGCATCAGATTTTCTTGACAGAATTCTGGATCAGGAAAAAAATGTTATTTTTGGGGTAGGTGATAAAATATGAATGGGGTCTATGCATAGATATAGATGATACTGAAGTTATTCCCTGACTTAGAGGGTTGTGTTTGGTACACAGGGCAATATCCTTGCTCTTTGGAATATGGGGCGGGAGGGAGAGAGAGAAAAACAAAGATGAAGAAGTAGAAAGGATAGGGGATAGGAACAAAATTATTTAGAATACTCACCAATGACTTTAACAAAATAAGCATCTGCTTCAAAGTTATTTTTTAGTGTATGGATGGCAAAATCATTCTTTGAATATCCTTTACTTAGTACTACAATGTCCAAGATTCCCTGGAAAAAAACAGTTAAGAACAAACTATTAGATGAACTAAAAAAAGAAAATGACCATTAAAAAGTATGGTGTGTGTTATAGTTTGGATAAGTGTCCTCCAGAGGCCTCTGGGTTAAAGGTTTGGTTGACAGCCTTTGGAACTACTGAGATGTGGTAAACTCTTAGGAGCTGAGGCCTAGTGGAAGAAAGTTCAGTTATTGGGTGTATACTCTTGAAGGGGATACTTGGGCCTAGATGCTTCCAACTGCCATGAGGTGAGTAGCCTCTTCCAACCATGAACTCCTGCCACGATACTCTATCCTGCCAAAGGCCCAAACCAACAGGGCCAACTGATTGTATACTAAAATCTCTCAAACTGAGGCCAAAATAAGCCTTCCTTCCTTTTAAGTTATTTCAGGTATTTTGTCACAGTGACAGAAAGGTTACACTGTATATTGACCACTTAAGTGTAAAATTTATTTACTCAAGTTGAAGTTGAATAGTAAAATAAAATGAAAAAATCTAGTTTTAGTCTTTGAAAAGAATTATTAGCATTTTGGTGTATTTCCTTCTGGCCATATATGCATGAATTTTTAAAGCCTGTGACAGTGATCACCAGATCTTTTCCAATAATCAGAGAGAGGACCTTTTATATGCCCTTGCCACCTCAAGGTGTCATTTTTCTTTTTTTCCGTAAAAAAGGGGGAAGCTTTGCTAATTATATTAAAATAGAGTGTACTCAATTTAACTGACTCTGTCGTGTCTCATGAGGCTATTCATCTATCATATTTTTATGTATGTTAGCAAATTTTTCTTCCTGTAAATTGACTATGTGCTATTTTTTCCAAAGAGTTTTAGGTGACATATCAGTTTGTCTGAATCCTTTTGTATTAGGACATTAATTATTTCACTCATTGATAGAAAATTTGTTACCCAGATTGAAAAAATAATTTTAAATTTCATTTATGATGTTTTGATGTAGGGAAATTAAAATTGATTCATAGTCAATTCTTGTGATTTTTTTTTCTCCTCTTGTGATATTTCTGCCAATTACTTTTCTGCTTGGAAATTTCTAAAATTGAATGAGATTTGGTAGGAGGAGAACAGAAGAAAACAAGTTCCTGCATTACTCTAATTGGAAATAGCCTCTTATAAAAACAAAATAAACCCAAAACAGGGATGAAGAAGATATACACATCCTGATGAGCACCTGACTTTTTAAAGTAAATTATCTTGCAAGGATATGCTTGGATACTTTGAAATTTAACAAGTTTATTATTTTTTTTTCCTAAAATTTATTTTTCTGAGTGGTAAACTGACTTTCCTCCTTGGAGAAAAACCCAAGCCTTTTATAAGTTAACCTGGTAACCAAATAATCTGTAGCAATAGATGCTACTTCTAGTTCACAAGGATAAAAGTGAGTACATAACTTTTCTTTTGCAATGTAGTAAATGTTTAAGAGTCAGTTATCTATTGACTCTGCTTTTGTCTACTGCTGACCATGCACATTTACCAGTCTCAAAGCATGATTCTTCAGTGGTTTAATCCAAATAATTACATAAGGGCCTTTTCATATTTGACTGTAATGATAAATTTGTTTTCTCTGTCATTTAACATTAAAAGATGCTTTCTTTTATTCATTTGCTTTCATTATGTCGTCCACATTTTCTAGTCAAAAAGAGTATAAAGCTAAAGGGAGATGAAGTAGATGGAAATTAAACCCCAAACACTTAGGACAGCTCTGAACTCACATCTTCATAAATGTCAAAAAAGGTGGCAACCATGGCATCTCTGATTTGATTTAGGTCTGTCAGCTCCCAGTAGACTTTAAACATCCGATGTGCCTCCTCACAGCTTACATTATTACAAGGGACATTTTCCAATAAAAAGGCTTGCTGGTTGCTGTATAATAAACAAAAGGCATTTATTTAATATGATATCTCAAAACTGTGCAACAACAGGTGTAATGTATTTTTCTAGAATCAAAAAAATAAATATATACAGTGAAATTATACTACCCCCCCCAATCCAGCAATCAATTATGATTGCTTACTGTGACATTAAAAACAACAACAACAACAAAACAATGAACTAAAATTGTTGTCACTTCTTTTCAGTCTTTGATAAAAATTGTCTGACTTTTTGAGGCAAGTCAGTTGCTCGCCTTTTTCCTCTTATCGAGTTTCTACATACATCCCTCTGGTGCTCTCTTGTTATTCTATTATCTATATACCTTGTAACTGAGTTCCTGGACCAGTCATTACCATTTAGACCTATATTATTCTTTTTTTTTTTTTTAGAGAGAGAGAGAGAGAGAGAGAGAGAGAGAAAGAATATGAATTGTTTTAATATTTATTTTTAGTTTTCGGCAGACACAACATCTTTACTTTATTTTTATGTAGTGCTGAGTATCGAACTCAGTGCCCCGCGCATGCCAGGCGAGCGTGTTACCATTTGAGCCACATCCCCAACTCAAGACCTATATTATTCTTTAAGAAATATTTAAATTTTAACTGGAGACCCTGATATCCCCAAGTCCTGTAAACCCAAAGCAGTGAATCTAAAACAGCTGACCTGTCAGGAACCTCTCAGATAACAAAGACATTATACTTTGTGTAGCCATAAAGTCCACTCTCTTGAATTTGACTACACAGGCAGAATGGTTATCAGCTTAGATTTTGGAGCGTGACTACTAGATTCCAATCCTGACATGGTCACTTAGCAGATATATGACTTTGAGCAAGATGTTTAACTTCTCTAACATTCATATCCTGATTTGTAAACTGAGTGATTAAAGTACTTATAGCATAGGGTTATTGTGAAGAGGAATAAAATACTGAAGGGAAAGTACTTGAGACAATTCCTAGCTTCCAGTTAGTATTCCATGAAAGAGCTTATATTACCATCGTTCTTATAAAGTATGACACAGTTCCATATAAAAATCTTTTCATTAGATATAAAAGTAATGTTTGTATATGATTTTATGTAATGCTCTTGTTTATAGGCATATCCCATACATAACCTTCCACTTTCCCCTAAGCTCACAGAAAATAATAGGTTGCTACTGTATAGTGCTTAAATTTTATTAATGCTCAATTTTTCTCTAATAATCATTTTAACTAAGTTAGTGGAGATTTCTTTTTTTTCCACATAAAAATGTTTGAGTCTCAGTGATTTAGAGGGAAAAAAAAGAATTATAAGAAAGGAACATTTCTAACATTTCAAACACATATTTGAAACCTATGTACAAAATATTCAATTTGTATGAAGTACTAATACATGATTGCTTATTTTTCCAAGACTAAAAAAATTTCCAGAACAAATAGTTCATTAGAACAATTATTTAATCAATGAACGCTTTCTCAGACCATAACATTTACTTGGAAAACTTTGAGGAGACCTTTGCTCAAGATATAACATGTAACAGTATTCTCATTACAAAGAACAAATGATTTTTCTTTGTCTCTTATCTAATAATTGATTTTTAAATTCTGATTTGCAATTTTTTTTCCAGGTAACTTATGTATCCTACTTTTTAAACTAAACCATTTTACTATAAATTTCACAGAGATGCAGCATATTCTAGCTTCTCATTAGAGAGTATGTTTAAATATGAAAATATGTGATAAAAGCAGCTTTCTACTATATTTTGTGATCACTGTATCACATTCATCAGCCTTCTGCATGTATTCCATTTCTCTTTTCAAAGCCACTGCATGGATTTCATTATAACAACTCTGGTCAGTTTCATGTAAGCAATCTTTATTGTAATTGTATAATTTAAAATTCCATTCTTAATTTTTTTTTGTGGGGGGTACCAGGGTTTGAACTCAGGGGCATCAACCAACCACTGAGCCACAATCCCCAGCCTATTTTGTATTTTATTTAGAGACAGGGCCTCAATGAGTTGCTTAGCGACTCTGGTTGCTGAGGCTGGCTTTGAACTCATTATCCTCCTGCCTCAGCTTCCTGAGCTGCTGGGATTACAGGTGTGTCCCACCGAGCCTTGCACCATTCTTAATTTTTGATACACGTTTGTAAAATAATGAATGTCTCACTAGTTATACTGGTGTTATACTGTGCAATTTGGGGTCTTTAAAAGCTCAGTTCTTTTAAATTCTGATGAAATCTAAAGACATAGTCTTGCTCTATTTGGTTTTGAAACCCTTGCGGTTTTGGCAATTGCAATGAATGCATTGTTTAAAAAATCGTTTTTCAAAATGATTACAAAAATTATCACAAAATTCAAGTAACAGAGACATTTAAAAAGTCAAAACCCTTCCTTTCCTGCAATAAACATTGTTAATAATTTGATATGTATCTCTCCAAACTTTCTCCTAGGCTATTCATGTATGTAAGAACCCATATCCTCATAAACAAAAATGAAACCAAGAAAACTGGATTCTGCTATGGGAAAGGGATACTAAATTATCAAGACTTCTGACACTATTTTGAAAATTTCCTTTGGAGAAGTTGCATATCTTTCACCAATAGCCCACCAAATTATCTATTTCCCCAGTCTCATTCTCCCCAGTGGCAACTCTATTATATGGATAAGCTACCATTCATTTTAAGATTCTATTATTGATGGTCAGGTTATTGCCAGATATTCCTCTTTTATTTTTCTTTGGGAACTTCTACAAGGATTTTCAGATGATAATCATCTGGCCAAAAGATATGTGTATTTAAAAATGTACCAATTTACAGTTCCAATTTAATATGAGTGTGTCTTTCATGTCTTGGCAATAATAGTAGCATTGCTTCTTACTCTTGCCAGTTGAATTGCTTACAAATGATTTATTTACTTTTTCTGATTATGAGAAACTATTACTTTCAGGTTCATCAGTCCTTTTTCTTCTGTGAATTGCCACTAAAATTTTTTCTAACTGATTTTTAGATCTCTGATTGTTAGGGACATTAGCCCCTTACCTGTTATTCTTATATCCTCATTCATAAAATAGTAGTAATAACATCACATTGCCTCAAGTGACTGTTGAAAGAACTGAATGAGAAAATGCATGGTACAGTGTTTAGTATAGTGCCTAGTACATAACACAGACATGTTCAACAATTGCTATTATTATTATATGCTGCCATTGTTATTATTTGATATGCTGCAAACATTTGTTCCAAGTCTTTTATTTTCTAAATTTTGTTTATTTTCGTCACTAAAAGGTTCATAATATTTACATAATAATTTATGTCAGTATTCTTTCCTTATGGCACTTTAAGAAATGTTAAAGGAAGTCCATTATGCAGATCAGAAATTGACACCATATGATAATTTAGTTCCACACAAAGGAATGAAAAGCACTGAACATGTTAATAAAATATATTTTTCTTATTTAAACTTCTATAAGGAGAACTGAATAAAATTCAACAACACATTATCCCTTGTTATTAAGAATACAAGAATAGGGGGTGGGGTTGTAGCTCAGTGGTACAGCATCTGTCTCACATGTGTGAGGCATTGGGTTCCATCTTTAGCACATAAAAATAAATAAATAAAATAAATGTATTGTGTCCATCTACTACTAAAAAATATTAAAAAATACAAGAAGAGATAAAGTGTGTGATAAAAATAGAACCAAGATCAGGAGAAATAAAAATATATTCTTTTAAGTTTCTGAAACTACTGATGAAATAATATAATTGGTATAGAAATAGGTTAAGCAAATAATCTTTAAATCCTAAAGGAATCACTGAAATAATAAGATTTAAAATAAGCCAACAAAAATGATAAAATCATAAAAAGTACAAAACTAAAACTAATTCAAATGAAAGCTGAAAGAGGAAAACAAAAAGAAAAAAAAAAACCAAATAAATAACGTGATGGTAGATTTATACCTAGTCATGTTAATACTGGCAGGAAATATATAGTTTAAATACACAAATTAAAAAGAAAAGACAGACTTATTGAATGAAAAAACTAACATTCAACCTATAAGATTGCCTATAAGAAATTTACCTGAAACATAAAGACACAAACAGGCAAAAAGACAGCTATTAAAAAAGCAGAACGTCAATCCACAGAGTAGTAAAAAGACAAATGATTCACTTTTAAGAATTCACTTTTAGATCTCTGATTGTTAGGGACATTAGCCCCTTACCTGTTATTCTTATATCCTCATTCATAAAATAGTAGTAATAATAGCACATTGCCTCAAGTGACTGTTGTAACCCTAACCCTAACCCTAACCCTTAAGGATTTGAATAGATATTATTTCTCCAAGCAATAAAAAAGTCATTATGCACAAAAAAGGATAGTCAACAAAATGAGCTATCAGAGAAGTCCAAAATCATAATAAGACACCAATTAACATCTAGTAACATGGCTGTAATAAAAAGAGACAGAGCTAGCAAGCATGCATTGCATGTGCCTGTTATCCCAGCTATTTGAGAAGCTGAAGCAGTAAGACTGCTTGGGGGAAGCAGTTTGGGGCCAGTCTGGGCAACAAAGCAAAACACTGTCCCTTAGAAAGAAAGAGTGAGTTAGAGTGAGGGGTGGGGGTAGGGGGAGAAAGAGAAAGAGAGGAAGATAATAACTAGTGTTGGAGAGAATATAGAGAAATTTGGACCATATACATTGATGGGAGGCTTATAAACTGGTGTAGCTGCTTTGGAAATTACTGAAAAGGTTAAACAAAGTTACTGTTTGACCTCGGATTTCATCTCTAGGTATACCCAAAAGAAATAAAACTTACATTCATACAAAAATATGTATGGATAATTGTTCATAGTAGCATTATTTGTAAAAGTCAAAAGTGAAAAGTATACAAATATCCATCAACTAATGAGTGGAAAAACAAAATATAGTATACAATGATCATTAAAAGGAACATATTAAACAAATACATGGATGATCCTTGAAAATATGCTAAGTGAAAGAAGCTAGAAAGTGT